ATATGCAGTACTTTGATGTTGCAATTTATGATTTCACTAAGATACTAGAGTATGTACATAGTGAGTTCAAGTTCCCTCATTCTATAGAAAGTTGTACTATGTATTTTTTATAGATGAATATTTAAGATTTGTGTGTATAAATTTTTTTAGCCACAAGTCTAAGGTGTTTCTAATTTTCAAAAGTTGACCGTTCCAAGTTGAGACTCAGACTAGATACAAGATGAGATATTTAGTATCAAATAATGACAAGTAGTACATTTCTTATGACTTAAAGAAGTAATGTGTAGATGAGAAAATTACTCGCCATTTCACAGTGGTTTATACTTCACAACAAAACATTGTTTCAAAAATTTTTAACTAAACATTGTTGAAGAAAGTGCAAAATATACTGAGCCAAATTAACCAGGTGATATTTGAACCAAAGCTATCAACAACATAGTTTATTTGGTGAATCTTTTTTTTCTAGTGCAATCAATTTTTCCAACAGCGTTTGAATTGAGCCATAAATGGATGGCGAATTATAGTTGTTTGAGAACTTTGATTGTATTGTTTATCTTCTCACATCCAAGTAGCATATGACTAAATTAGATACTACATTCAAGAAATTTTGTTCTATTGGATATGCTAATGAAGTGAAAAAGTATGGGCTATGAAATCTAGTAGTACTTAAGGTGATTGTCAATATGAATGTTTCTTTGAAAGATTGTGATTTTGATACAAAGTATGGAGATGAAACTACATTAATCTTGGAAAATAGTGAACTTTCTTTGTACATGGAAACTCAAACTTTGATCAATAAACTTGAGTAAAATGCTGCTATGGATCGGGAGATGCAGTCATTAATTGACAACAAGACTTGGGAGTTGGTTGAGCTTGAGCTTGACCCAATCAGTTATTGATTGAGTCCAAGTGAATAATCAAGATGAAGTACAATCCAACATGAGACGAGGTAAAAATCTTCAAAGCCAAGTTAATGATTAGAGTTTTCACATTGAAAAAAAGTGTGGACTACAACAAAGGTTCACACTTATAATAAAATATGTTATAATTTGTCTTGAATGTGCACTAGCCGCAATGTTCAATCTTATTATGGATAGATGAAAAGTTGTAATCACATGATTACAACATTTTTCTATGTATATTTTGAGAATTAGATCTACATGAAACATTGGTTGACTTTGAAGTCAAAGGCAAAAAGAGTTTGATCTATAGATTGCTGAAATCATTGTGTAGACTGAAGCAAACTACTAAATAATAGAATACGTAATTTGATGAGTTCATGAAGACACAAGAATTTTTACAAAATGTGCATAATGTTTGTGACTACATGAAGAAGATGAATGATGAGACTTTCAATGTCATCATTCTAGTACTCTACGTTGATGACATGTTCATCTTGGCAAATGTTGATGAATGCAAGAGTGAGTTAAAGTTTACATTTAAGATGAGTGATATTGGGGAGTCAAAGAGAATATTAAACATGGATATTCATAGGGATTTTGAAAATAAGATTTTATAGATATGAGAATGTCAAATAAGATATTAGTCATTGATATACATAGGAATTTTGAAAAGAAGAATTTATGGCTGAATCATGACAAGTATGTTTATTGTATACTTGACAAGTCTAATAAGGCCAATTCTAAGAGAGTATGTACTTCTTTGACATCACATTTTAAGCTCTTCATAGCTCAATGTTCTATAGATGCTCATGAGAAGAAAGAATGTCATGTGTTCTTCATAAACATGTTGGTAGCCTCATGTATTTGATTATGTGCACTAGGTTTAATATTGCTCTTGCAATGGATAAGGTGAGCAGTTACATGTTAAATCAAGAAAAATTTCATCGAGAATAAGTGAAATGGATTTTGAAATAACTGAAGAATATGGTAGATTATGGCTTATTTTTTGATGATTTATTATACAATGTCAAATTTTTGTTGAACTTTGTTGATGCTGATTTCGGATAGGATCCGGACAAAAGAAGATCTATAACTATGTATGTGTTTATACTTAGCAATGGAAGCATTAGTTTGAAATCTACTTTGTAAAAGTGTGTAGTTTAGTCGATAACAAAATTTGAGTATGTAAAGGCAGCAAAAGCAGCAAGGGAAGTTATTTGGTTGAATAGTTTTATTATGAAGATGAGATATATACAAGCATGATCAATCTTCATTGTGATAGCCAAAGTGCTTTACATTTGACTGCAAACTAGTTCATGAATAATAAAGTGAGTCACATCGACATCATGTATCATTTTATCAGATAAATAGTGTTTGATAACACGATTGAGCTAATCAAGATAGACGGTAAATCAATCTAGCTGATGCGTTAAACAAGTTATTCATATGATGAATTTCAAACTATTGCATTTTGCTACTATGCAAGTTGTGTATGTGGAACATAAGTTGAGTTTACTATGATAATATCTTCAATTAGCCCTTTAAAGAATGATCTTGTGTTAGGTCTTCTTTTAGAATTCACGGAATAATTATATAAGTTATAGAGTTTACTGTTATCTCTATGCTAGCAAGTTTATTAATCAACACTTTATATCATTACTCTATCATGTTATATTCTAATTAAATTTAGTTGACAAAAGGTATGTTGCATTAGATTTTTTTCTAGAACTTCTCACAGAATAATAATATAGATCATTATTCTTCATGTTACCTTAACATGAATTAAGGGGGAGATTGTTGAAATTAATTTTTGTTAAGGAGTAACCTTGGTTTTGAAGTAAAGATAGCTATAATGGATCGTTTGGACGAAAGTTTAAATACCCCTCCGACTTCTACTACACGGATTTTGTTTTTCACTATTGACAATTAATTCATTGTTTCAGTCGTGCACTTGAATGAACCACTTTACATCTTGGTGTGTACTTTACTGTCACTCATTTCTGTGTCTTATTGTTTATGTGTATTATTGTTTATTGATTTTAGGTAATGATATTAAAACATTTCATCTAACAATACTATATGTATAATCAAATGTTCATTGTATTTTGCATAATTAGATATTGTAATGTAAGTTTCTACATTTTTCATCTAGTTATGTATAATTTACTTTTAATTTTTATATTTTATTAAAAGATTCAAAATTATATTATTTATTAAATTGATGTTGTTTTTCAAATGTAGTCAAATAATTCCAAAATTCCAGAAAATGATTTATGCAAATCAATGTGAAAATTCAACGCAAATATATTTTAAAATTATATATTTTAGCTCTCTTGTTTTAAATTTTCATGAGATGTATTAATCTCAAGATTTATAATATTAACATTGTAAATCCAATTAAGCATCTTACAACTTTCAAAATATTGCTCAATCAACACTTGCATTGTGATCCATTAAAATGCTCTTTTTAGCATCCTAGTAATCTTCATCAATTAGAAATACAAAAATTTAACTTAGATATTACTTTTTTTGCGAATAAATATGTTAAATTGCATAAATATTATTTCAAAAATAAAATTATTTATTACTTATCTAAAAAAATTATATCTTTATCAAATGTAAAATATTAAATCTATCCATCTTATATCATTATTTTCTTAACCTATGTCTCTAGCATTTGATTTATGTAGTGATGATTATTTATTTATTTATTGTTGATGATACAATTGATTTGTGTGACATGATAGTGTCATGCAATGAATGTAATTATATCTAATGATCATGTCAAGATTTAATTTCGGTTCAAGATTACTTTTTTGTAAATAGATTACTTTTATATCAAACAAAATATTATTTGATATAAAAGTAGTCTATTTTGTGATTTGATTTATATTTACAAACCTCATGTACATTTTTTTATCCAAATAATCAATATTTGGATTAATTCATTTCATTTCAACTGGATAGAAAATAAATAAATTTTATATGAATTTTTTGATATTAATAGTTCAATGTATTAGTGTAAGGAAAAAGTTGATTTACATTTTGATATAATATATTATTATCAATCAAAAATAGATTCAATAAATTTAATCAAGATGTTTACAATAGCCTAATTATGATGACTTAAAATTATCTATTTTTCTTCAAAATATTTTCTTAGAAAATGAGTAAATCATGCTGTTAAAATTTTAATTAATTTTTGAAATTATTTTAAGTTTAAAAATATCAAATATATATCGTCATAACATGATTTAAAAGGTCAAACATCTCTTTTCAAAGATTTTTTTATCAAGAATGCATTGATAGATATTTAAAAGAAAATTTCCAATTGTAGCTAAAATCACAAAGATTTATTACTTCATTCCAATCTTTGTAATTGATTGAAGCAATATATAGAATCATAATGTTGAAATGTTATAAAAAATTGGCTCAAGCAAATTACTCCTTTCAAAAATATAGTTACAAATTTCTAAATATAAGCCTTAATTTTTATGATGAAAAAATTATATCATATTTCTTTCACAACACAATTAGTAAATATTATGGATTTATTGTAACATCATCATGTGAAATTTAAAAATTTGGTCTTGTAGTTTTTGGACAGTCTTTTTTCCTATATTTTGATTTTGTGTTGCAATATTTGATTGTAATTTATACTTCGAACGTTCAGGTTTGGCAAGCATAATGAGAAATTGCAAGAGTAAGACTGATCATGAAATCAAATTTATTCTAAAATAGTGCAAAATAAATATTTTTCAAACTTTGAATAGTGTAAAAGGTTGAAGGCGTTAAACAAATAAAAATTAAAGTCCTATGAAGAATTTTTTTATTTCTACAATACAAACAGAATTTCTGTAGCTCTGATTCTTATTTTTTGATATGAAAATATAAAAATACACTCGATATAATATTAAACTATATTTCTTCAAGCTTATATTGTATTTACAACTTTTAAGTTAATAAGATTTTTACAACTTTAGTAACTTTTATTAAGTTTGCATATATTTATAACATCATTTCTACATCTCGCAAGTACATTGTATGAAATTATCTTCAACATTTTGTACTATTCCCGTCAGGAAACCCATATGGTGGTTGAATAGGAAGCATAAATGCTCTGATCTCTCTTTGAATGCGATTACCAGTTGCATTCGATTCATTTCTTCTAGATCAGTTTTACTTCCGCTTGCGCAAACACGAATCATAACTAACATAAACATGTGACGAATTTCACCAATAACTCCGCGCAATTACTTTAAAGGAGATGGATAATGGTGTACAGATTCTGTTGCAAAGTGCAACACGCATATAGTCGCATCTCCAGGTAGACATAATTTTCGTTTTGCAGGAAAAAGTACATTCATTTCGTTGACCTGTTGATACTATTGTACCAAATGTTCTTTAACTAGAAACTGAGAAAATACTGATTCATTTCTATCTCATGATACAGCGCATAAACCAAAGGTTACGATATGATGTCAAAATAAATTACAGAGAGTACTCTTGCTTCAATATTCAAGGGAAACGTCCAACATGGGGAATTTTACTTCCTCGATCGTCATGTTGACTTGAATATGAATTTATACAACAAATAAATACTACGAATATACAAATTCATTGCAAGCTAAAGGTACAATTGTACAACAGATAAACTCTGTATGGTCTCAAAGTTGCAACTCCGGTACCTTAAGACATCATAATATGTATTTGACAAAGATGTAATTCATGCCAGTTGACCCGCATTTCTGAGCAGCATGACTCGTAATTCTGTCATATCCTCCATGGCATATCTCACACCTTCTCGTCCTAGTCCGGAGTCTTTCACACCCCCGTATGGCTGTCAATAAAACGTCCTGTTAGTGAACAGAATGTAACAACTACAAAAGCTATTTTGGTGACTGAAGCCCATGAACGTAAAATACATTCAAAATACTACCCTGCACAGCAATGCTCCCTTGACTCTTCAATACATGAGTTTTCTCCATCGCCTCTTGCTTTCCTTTCTTCCACTAAGTAGATTCTTCTACTTCCGTCATTAGTATGGTTTCTCTTTCAAGTTCGGTTCTAAGCTGCATGTAGAGCTATGCTCGTCCTAGGTTCTATAACACATATTGGATTTTGAAACACAGTAGATGCTCTCTGCGACAAGGAGTACACACGTCCATTCCTCGACCATTACTATTACAAGAACAAACGAAGCACTTGATTCTGAATATTGTTCTTCAGTGAAACCTAGGGTATTTCCCCAAAACTAGGATACAAATGAACCGAAGGAACTTACCTGTGAATCGATTCTCATACTCGGAGCGTCGTTAATACAAACACCGCCCACGTCTAGTTGCTCGAAAGCATAAAAAGCTTTATTTAAGTCAGCCACAAAAACTCCGGCCTGCAGACAGAAGATGGCTGTGAGACACTTTGATAATATTGTAACAGAACACGTGGTAAAAGCGCCACAAATTCAAAAGACCGATTTCTAAACTCATGGCATTCTCGATGACAGATCACTCATCGTATCCTAGGCCAGCTGCAACCATCTTCACTGCAACTGAGGTATATGCCTGACACAACACGTCAGTGCATGCTTTTCAATTGTTCAACTGTGACTTGATGTGTGCAAGAAATCTTACCTGCAAACCAAACTTTGATTGGTTGACGTTGGCAATTGCAGTTTTATAATCTTTGTATGATGCAAGTTCCATAGTTGGTCCGAAAACCTCCTCGGTATGGACCTGCACTCATCACAAGGAGAGTGTGACTCCCGTATCTCAGAAATATATGAATCTTAATTTTACATGAGGTCGAAACCTAGTCTGATATATATGCTTCATCCTGGATACCGACTATAAGTTAAATCTTTTTGAAAATTAAATGTTGAGTTTACATAAGGGATATAGACCTGTGCTTCAGGTGAAACGTCCTCCAATATGGTTGCGTCATAGAAAGCGCCATCTCGCTTTCCCCCTGTTAAAACCCTGTAGATTCACGTCTCTCATATAAGTGAAATGTGGACATTACAAAGTCTTCGTTCGCATATGCAAAATGCGAACTGAACTAGTGTCCAGTTACAAATTCTTTAAGGAATTTCTTACCTAGCTCCTCCTTTAACAGCTTCGTTTACCCATCCTTCAATTCTCTTTGCATCTGATTCAGAAATCAGGGGGCCAATAAATGTTTTCTCATCACTGGGATCACCCTGCAAGAGTGTCAAACACGTCAGGAGTTGCCCAGTCAAAAGCTATATTATTTTTTTTAGGAATTCAACCAAGGCTAATAGATCTCTATTATAGAATAATAAATATGGCTTCAATATATGAATAGAAGTCGAAGATAGCCTAGCAAAGTCATGCCATAAGCAGTTCCTTGAAGTTCCAGATTATAGCTTAAAACGATGAGACGGGCACCTTGACAAGAGTGGATGCTTTTGCAACTAAAGCGCTTGATACGGTTTCGTAAAGCTCCTGCAAAATTTCAAAGATGGTCAAAGACAGTACGAGGGAAATGAGGAAATTTGCATGGTATGTTGCCCGGACCGGATATGTGGAAATTATACAGCACTCTAACATCAGAGTCGACTAACGGGGTACAAATGGACACAGGTGGACAATTTTAGAAGATGAGAAAAGCTTCTACTTTATATGCAGATTAACTTAGTAAAACTAGTTAAGAGAACTGCGAAGCGAGCTCCATTTTATCCGATGAGACCTGGCGTTGGAAGTTGGAACAGACAACTCGGAAAACATCACTAAGCTACATACTAGACTTGTACTTAAGTTATACAGCAAAAAGATGAGTGCTTGCAGGTTCGAAGAAACTGATTACCTCACGAATATATACACGCTGAACGCTAATACACGACTGGCCGCTTTGATAAAATGCTCCATGAATGATTCGCTCCACGATTGTCTCAAGATCGGGTACAATATCCTGTCCAGAGAGGATACTGATCAAAATTGGATAGTTCCGACAATTTAACAATTAAAATAAAAACTCGAATCCGCATATCGACCCGAAGGTTAAACGTCTGCATTGGAAAATCTTTCGTTTGATTGACAAATTACTGCCTAAACTGCTGTCAATTTTGAGTCAGGTTATATCAAAAAGATTTACCTCCACCACACATGCTGCATTCCCCCCGAGTTCAAGGACCACTTTCTTCTTACCAGCTCTTGCCTTCATATCCCATCCAATCTGCCCAATAATAACATAGTATATTACATGATTTGTTGTTTAGAGAAGTCAAGGACCAGAAGACGACCTCATGGTTATACTTGTACAATACTCAAGAAAAGGACTAGATATTACTGCGAAAAAACAGAGATGTACCGTTGGAGACCCGGTGAAAGAGAGCAATTTAAATCTATCATCCGTCACGAATAGATCTGCGGCATCCCTGGAGCAGGGAAGTATAGAGAATGCTCCTTCGGGTAGGTTGCAGCGTGACAAAATCTCTCCTAGAAGTAAAGCTCCTAAAGGTGTGCGACTGCAAAACAGCAACAAAATAGAGTTGGACGCAGAGCTTATAACTCTTGACTGCAGATTTATAATGTTTCCTCTAAATATTTCCTCATGACACAGGTTATTCCTTCTTCACTTGTTCAGAATAGTCTTTCGAAGACCATCTACACAATCTCCAAGCATGGGAGTTAAATCCACAAGTATATAAACCTGAATAGTGTTTGCAGATCTCATCTGAAAGCAGACAAATAAATTATCACACCTAGAATCTCAACATCATTGTTTATCTGACAGAACAAATTTTGTAGCTGACAATCCAACATACCTGGCTGGTTTTAAGACAAATGGACATCCAACGGCTAAAGCTGGCGCAATCTTATGAGCAGCCTGCATGACCATAGTACATAGTGCAGAATAGGTATATGAGATGGTAAGAATATCATGTGACATACAAGCATATTCATATGTATGTACAATAAGTGGAAGCCCTTCTGGGCCATGCAAGAATCTCACAACAACTAATTAGGCAATGTGTCCTTCGAGGCAAGAGGCCAGATGTTTAATAAGTTTTGATTTGTTTTTGATTAAACAGATTCATTTTGCGAAGTCATTTGCTTTGTAAATCTGCAAACGACTCAGTCGGTCAGCGTTATGCCGTAAAGGCAGACACCTACTTAACTCTCATATCTGACTTCCTTCAGGTACTTTATTCTTTTCCAATTCAAATCTTCCTCAGTCATCAAATAACAGTACAGGAGAATACACAATCAGCAACTCATTGAGTTTACCAGGTTAAGAGGGAAGTTGAATGGACTGATCATGCTCACTGGTCCGATAGGAAAACGACGAACCTGCAGCATCAGTACAGTTACAAGACACAAGAGTAACTCAGAATCTAGAGTATTCGATAAACGATAACCTCCACTTTTCACAACATAGGGAACCTCAATCCAGGCTTCAGATATTCTCACAAGAAAACAACACCGTCGTGAACAAAGGATACATACCAAGGACTGATAACCTTTGCAACGCTCTGAAATGTCCAAAGGAGCATATTCACCATAGCTGTGTAGTAACAAGAAGAACACAATGTTATAACAGCATATACTTGACAGGACATTTTGAATGTGTTGAATACGGTCAATAGGACCAATATCTTTGTACAGTGGAGGAAAAATATCGTCTTCCTATAACACATCGTCACATCATGGAGCACATTTTGCACACGAGCAGTCTTGTACATTGTAAGAAACTTTCAATGATTCCAACACAAACTTGTCAAAGATTTCAAATAATTTAAATTTACAGCTCCAAAACGTAAGCCCAATGAGTCAAAAGAACTGAGTGCAGTCAGCAACGTTTGAATTCAGGAATAGACACAGCACTCTGAAGCCAAATATGCAGAAAGAAGAAGGATAGACACGTACATGCGAACACTTTCTTCAGCTGCGATCGTGAAGGTGTCAATAAGTCGCTGTACCTCGCCTCTTGAATCCCTGAGAACAAGTAAAATTCTTCAGTTTCAGCTCACATTCCACTTCCATGTGATAGATTGATCATTCTTAACTATGGTTTGTGATCAGCTGGAAAGGTTGGTAAAACAAAAATTTCGACAGGGTTACCCCAGCTTGCATTATTGATCACCGACTAGCCACCGTTTTAAATTCTAATCGAGTTTTATCTTCAGCTTTGAATAGTTCACTCCTGGTAAGATACTACAAAGGTCTGAACTTTTCTTTTCAGACTGAATATCTAATTGACCATTATGTTCTTCGAACTCTGGAAGACGAAGATTGAGCACTGTCAACTGCATGATTTTCTTTGCTCAACAGAAGAGAGTTCAGGCTGTCGAATCTTTTATGACCAAGGATATCAAACTTCTTCTTCAGTGTGGACAATACCTTCTGGTCAAGCATTCCAAAAATCTCTTCACAATACTCTTTCAAAGGCTCCTGTCCATGCGATCTTGAAACCACAGAAGCTGATTTGTAGCTTGATGGGTCAGAAAACTATAATAGGAAGCAAAGGCAATATTCTATTAAGCCTTGCGTACAATTTATCAAGTCTTCATCCACGCTTATACAGGTTACTTAGTCACAAACCAAAAGGTATGTGTGTGTAGATTGATGCTAAAACAAGGTGAGTGAAGTTAGCCGCTACATCTCCATCCTCCGATATTAGCATCAACTAGATCAAAGAGTGAACATGTACAAAACTGTCCCCACATCGTACAACTGAACATCTTCAATAAGATAGTCCAGCAACACACAAAGTTTCGCAAGTTTATGGTCTCCTTCTAGCCATAATAGTGTCGTAGTTAAAATTAAATTTGTCACTGTTCGTTTTACACGCCGGGGCATAGTCAGATACAGTCCAATTGAAGTTGATGTTCCTATATTTGACATGGTCAGCTAGTCGACTTCTGAATCCAATCCATCTAGCAAATCTTCAAAAAAGAGATAGATACTTAGCAGGGTAGTGACCAAGGAACAAGTCCTTGTGAAGCTCAAAAGGAAATATTCAATGATATGTTGGCCACAAGTTGCTTTAATCTTCAAGACGGCATCAGAGATGCTCCATTGGTTCATCATGAGCCTAATATAATACCGGACAACTGCAAGAAAGACAAACTCCCAACACAAAAACCCCTTTTCCTGAAATTTTAAAAACCGGCACACATGCTAAGGCGCAAGGATCCATCTATGTTCGTGTTAAACCTCGCAGCCTAAAGAACGTCGAGAAGCCTTCAGTTGAACAAGTCACTGTCGATTAAGGACGTTGTGTTCAATTTCGGAAAAAATAAACGTTTAATTTATCACATGACCAAATATCTTCATTACATTTATTTACACCAAAGTGCACGATCGGGAGTTAGAGAAGATGCTCACCTTATGGGCTTGCCGGCTTCCACACATAAAGCATGGGCAAACTCTTCGAAACGCGCTTTTACTTCATCCACCACCTTCTCCAGTACAGCTTTTCTCTCATAACTTGCCATCGCAGCCATCGCAGGTAGTGCCTTTTCAGCTGCAGCTACTGCATTATGGATATCCGCTGGGCTAGCCATAGCACATCGGGCTGCAACTTTATTTGTGTACTTATTGATGACTTCGAGTTGCGAATTGGGAGTCATGGCCCTGTTGGCGAGATACATTGGATACAACTTCACTTCTGATTCTTCATGCTTTGATTCGAAGTTTTCAGGGACTTCTTTTGCTACCACATCAGGAGCCAACGTTTCTTGCTCATTCGAAACGGCACTTGATTCTTCAACTCCGTCCACAGTCTGTGGATGCTCGGCTTTAACCGAGTCAAGTTTTGAAGATGGGGTCGCAGATGTCCCCCGTGTTGGAGATGGAACTTCGTCTACCGTTTGTGGTACATTTGATGCCATTGATAGCGAATAGGAGATTCTCTGCTCAGAAGATCACCACTTTAAATAAGTAGTGTGCAAGAATCGCTTCCTGACTCTACAAGGACAAACATGTGAACCGGACAGACTACAAAATTACAGAAATTCAACCCTTAGATCCACCAAACGAAACAATGACTGAACACGTTAAGTGTACTCATTAGTACGTGATTGTCACAACATGAAGACCATAGGACCGGCGGCCTGGTTGAGCTTTGCTCTTATGAAGATAGAGAGTGCTTGGAGAAGACTGGACGTAATTGGGAAGAAAGGCAGAGAGAATAACTTGAGAAAAAAGAAGGTCCCTCCTGTAGTTTGAATTATCCCCATTGATAATTTGGAGTTTTCTAGTATCAACCAAGGAACACTTTACTAATTCATCCACCTGAAAATTATGCAAGCCTCAGTAAGTATGAGTACTTACTGAGGCTTGCATAATTTTATAGTTTATATATTTAATTTTATAATTGCCGCACAACATAGTGCGGCTGCTTTGGTCTTTGGATAAGACTGGAGACAACGTAAACAGCTTGTACTCCACCAGCAGAGCGATGTTGCAACCCATGTTCGCTCATGTGACAGTGAACGCTGCATACCCTCAGATATGAACAGGGCTTTCGATCTCCTTGTCCTAAACAGTGCAAATTGAGAAATGGTTCCCTATCTTGCTCTTCTAGCGATTCAGGACTACAAGACCATCGCAACTTGGACGTTAGTCGTGTCCTAGACAAGTATACCCTGGAGATTGTGATTAGAGATGGAGAGTAGGAGGTCTTAGTGGAGAAACATGTTAACAATGCTTTATATGTATATAGCGAGACTCAGTGCAAGTACTCAGTGCGGGGCTTGGGGAGCTGATATTAAAATTAAATGATGTGGCAGATTGACGCCGTGTGGTGAGCTACATCTCCCACGTTGGCATGTTGACGCAGCTTCATAAATAATCGAAACCCTTTACAAGTGACTACGCCTTGTTTTCATGTTTCAATTCTTCATCCATTTGAAGAAATTTGAAGACACCATTTTCAAAATTAATTATCGAATCTTCACGCATCCGGTTTTTCAAGCGATTTTCAACGATGACTTGCACGCTTACTATTGAGGGGGAGGTCTTAGCTTTTGAAACAATTCACATATCAAAGTATATCTAATGCACTCTTCATTGTCAAATAAGGAGTAAAAGTGAACTGAGAGTCAAGGACCGAAAGTGGCACGGATCAAGAAGCAGCTAAGATCCGATAACGAAAACTAGCGCCAAACGAGCGTGGCGCAAATTAGTAAACGCTGATAATGTCTAACGTCTGATGTGAAAATTTTCGTAAATAATAGACAATAGTACTGTGGTCAGGCTTATATTCTAGTGCGGCACCCCCAAGCACCCCAACAGATCCCCCCTTGGCTTCGACCTTGCATGTGATCTTGAAGATGAAAGGGAGTCGGCACATTCACACGAAAACTACTTAAATCATCTCTAACAATCAATTAACCGCCAGAACTGAGTAAGTTTCAGAAAGTCAGTTTCTACAGGCCTTTAATAAATTCCAATGACATGATAAAGCATTTGCACATTGACAGGAAATCCAGAATCATATTTGGAAGAGAGATAAACAAATTCATCAAATCTCAAATTCTACGATTATTCTAATAACTCACCGGTTTTGTAGCTGGCATTATGTCATTGATTATTCCGGGCAGCTCTTTGTCAAGAATCATGTTAGCCCACGTATAATCAACAGGTACCTGCAAGATACAAGACAAAACCGGTGATCATGTTCATCACTTGTCCTGACATTGACCAAGCTCGATGACACTCCCTGTTCTTCTTATTTGGGAATCGTCCTAACCTACCTGACTATGCAATGCTTTTTATGTCAAGTGTGGTAGTGACAGAACCGTGGACCTGGAACTCATACGTACCTCAATAAGCTTGACACCTCTTTCGGAGCCATGCAAGCATTCTTGCAAAATTTTGGAGAACTCATCAGCTGCAGTTACTCGATATCCTTTTGCGCCATAGCTGCAAACGCCAAACCGTTCAGTATATTCCTCCTTGCATTATCTCCGACTTGAGATGTCGTACCCCGTCAGCATAATTACCCGCCAATGTTTGTGAACTAATCCTCCAACGGAGTCGCCAGATCTTGGTTGTCTGTTGGCTATAGCAACTCTACTAACTTCCAGTTCCATTTTTACAAATGTTGGAAACGAAAAGAGGCCATATTAGCCTTTGAACAAAAGAAGCTCAGGCTCGCCTAACTTTTTAGGATAATCGCAAGATCCAGAGTTTTAAGATGAGGGTGGAATATCAGGCATGCGTCAGGGGAAGGAGCAACAAAATGCAGCATAAATAATCTCCCACGATAACCACATCCAAATGCACGACTCTGGGAGACGCGAAAAGCGTCATAAGAATTACCTCTGTGCGTAGGCTACGAAGTCTGGATTTTTCAAATCCAGTCCAAACCTGTAAGTGCAGTCACAGAATACGGTGAGAAAAGCTAGAAGCGCAAAAATGGATATCACTGAAATACCAGTCACGTTTCTCTCCTATGAGCACTGACTTCTCTCTTCTCAGCAGACATCTGTGGGCGTTTGTATAATTCAGCGGCCAAAAAGCTGCTTAAAATTCTCTGTTCAAAATATACTTCTCCCAATAAAATTTTGTCACCCAAAGCTGACAGCTATCTATAACATCAAAACCAATTTGATGTTGAGGTAACGTGCAAGTAACTTACTTGTCAAAATGGCTGGCATTCTGCTTCCACTTAATCATGCCATATGCATTGTCATTCAAGACAAGAACCGTGAGATTAAGGTCCAAGCGAACTGCAGTCTCCATCTCCTGGAACGGGATTTGACGAACCAAAGGTCACGGTTTGTCTGAACCACTGACAAAGCTAGTGAAGAACACTGTACATTTGCATATACCTCATGTCTAATCTCTAGACGTCAGCAGACTTTGGACATGACAATTCCCTAAAATGGACACTTCACTTGCCTGAGAATTCATCATGAAACCACCGTCTCCACAAACAGCCACGATCTTCTTCTCTGGATATAGTAAGGCTGCAGCCATTGCAGAGGGAAGACCTGCTCCCATAGTTGCTAGAGCATTGTCAAGTAGCAGAGTATTGGGTTCATAAGCCTGCAGAATTGAAAGGTACAAGCTGTAAAAAAAATTAAAAATGGTGACTAACGAGCCTCAGCAAAGAGCTGGAAATCGGAAGTTCACCAGAAAGAAAGGGCAATAGAATGCCAGTTTAACTTCAACGGGTCCAGAAGAAGAAGCGGTATTTTAACTGGTGAAGTACTGAAAGGTTTCACCAAGCTGTACTCACAATCACTTATCGTCTATATTCTGATTGGAGGTCTAGAGAATGGAAACAACATCCGTCCTTCAACTCTTCTTTGTCAAAGTCCGACTACCACAAGCACATGAGAAAATCGATCATCAATCTTTACAAACCTTGTAACATCTTGCAAACCAGATCTTGTACATTCCTGCCAACACGACCACATCACAAGCCTCAATCAGTTATGCCCAAGAAAGTGCTTTACCTTTGCCATCAAGAGAGATGAAACGCATCAGAGAAGCAGAAAGAATAAAAGATAGATAATTCAGAGGGGAAGGCCCTCCTTGGTATTAAAACTCCCTAATGACGTAACGCTAAGTGCGGTATTTGCTAGGTGTACGATCTCTACGATCTCACTCATCTGCCATCGACATTTTCTCGGTAACAGAATTTAGAGCATCCGAAACGGACGACTCGAATCCAGAAACTAAGCCGGGTTTCTCAATTCGGAAGAAAAAGTTTATTTGACAACCGGTTACAAGAACAGCTAAGATGTTTCCATCTCAGGGCAAGGTTGTTACCGTTATCAAGACACGCAATCCCATCATCCGGCATAGCCTTTCTGCGCATTCGAATAGCAAAAGGTGAATTTCTATTGTCTCAGATTCAAAACTTCTTGAACTTTCTGAGCACGGTTCTAGATTAAAATCTATTTACTGGTAAGATACTACTGAGAAGAAGAAACGACGACTAGAGAGAAACACTGATTCCGCAATTTTTTCAACTTACAATATTCCAATTATCGATTATATTCTTAGTGCGATGGTAATTGTGAACTTTACACAATGGAAGAATCTCTTACCTGAGATCATGCACAATTCGCTGTGGCATCAATGGAAACCTGTTGTCATCTATACCTATAAGCAGGTGCGCTTCCAACTCTTTCTTGACCTGTCAAGAAACATTTCCTCGCATAATATTCAGATCAGAGCTAATAGAGTATTTGACTTGTTTTGTCATTCACGACAACACATCCGCTTGGTATGTGTAAGTACAATGGGGTTTCTTTCTCATGATTAAATTTTCTCATTGGATTTTCTTATGGTCGTACGTGTCAGTTACGACCATAAAGGAGGGTCGCACCAAGCACTGTAGAAACATTCATTTTGGGCTAATTCGCTTCGTAAGCACCTCCTAGTAGTTTCGTACGGTCTTTTCATATCGAAGAACTGCTTTACCCACCTGCGTGGCCATTAGGATATGCCTAACATGACTGAATCATGGATTACACAAAAGACATACGACAGAATAAAAAGAGAGAAGGTTCAAAACGGCTTGCCTTATGGATGAAGGTGTAATCCCAGTGATCCTGCTTCTTCATACCCTCCTTAATTTGCCAGATTGTATTGGCAATATCTCCGACAACTTCCAACTGGAACAAAAATTCCAGCGTCAGAAAAGAATTACGCTCATGCATTGTCTTTCTAGATGAAGCAGAAGTATTCTTCAAAAAAATTAAAAGATCACGAGACGTTGAGGGGAGGAGAACTCTCTGACCTGTGGGAAGTACACATTGTCCACCTTCGCGGTGTAGAAGTGGATATGAATAACCAATGGAGGCTTTCCATGTCTGAAAACGTGAATAATACGTGTCAGAACGTGGTCAACCACAAAGGGGCACTTCGGTCGTTACGTGGGCGTGTTTTTATCCCGACTATAATCATGCGATCGCATGAAATCTATTATCTTATAATCTTTTTAACCCTTTTCAGCATCTGAGATTTAAGCCACTACAAGTAAAGCTCTTTCTCCCATCCTCGAGCAGTCTGAAAGGGGGCCAAGTGGATAGCAAAAACGATGGGAAGACCCCATCCAGACGTACAAGGAAGAAAACGAACTGGAAACCAGGGGCTAGGTGAGGTAATGGAATGCGAAGGAAAAAAATTCCTAACATACCACTGTATCTGACTGGAGATTGTCCACTATAACCGGCACGTCCGTGCAAGTAAGCCAGCTTCATGAGGCACTGAGACGTACCTCTTCCGTGCGAGAACGGAAATTCCAACTGAAATCAGCTTTTTATGAAACTGGCATACAGAGGCTGAAGCGACCATAGTGTAGTACTCACTGCATAATAAACGGTGGTTTCTCAACAACATCGTGCCCAACCATTATAATGAGGTCGGCTTTCTCGATGCAGACATGCTCGTAATCCTTGGCCGACAACGCACAGCAACCCAGATACAATGGATGGGCCTCTGCAAAGAGACTATATAGTAAGATAATAACTTCTTGTAATCTCGTGCATGCTTCAATCAATAGATTTAAAAAAGCAAGAGAGTAAATCATGATAGGAGGCTTCACTCACCCGTAACGACACCTTTTCCCATTTGGGTTGAGACGAAGGGTATGCCAAGTTCGTCTACAAATTCTCGAAGCCTGCATAATTACAATGTTATGGACATGAGGATTCCAACTTTTCCAAGGAACAGATAATAAGGAGGTTCTTGCGAGGGGTGAATTTCAGAATAAGTATCATATCTTCTTACATTTTCTGAGTTCTTTTGCGGTTGGCGCCAGCACCGATAAGTAGTAGTGGAGTGTCGGCAGCCTCAATCATGTCGATGGCCTTCTGGATAGCCTTCACTTCTGCTATCGGTCTCCTCACGGGATGAACTGGAAATACTTGAGCGTCGGTCATCTGTTCTGCTATATCTTCCGGTAATTCAAGATGTACAGCTCCAGGTTTTTCTTCTTCAGACACTCTTATGGCTTCTCTTACAAGCGACGTCACGAGTTCTCCGTCTGCTATTTGCTTCGTAAACTGCAAATGTGTGCGGACGTTGTTCCAAAAATGACTCAAAATAGGCAAAATTGGACTCACGAACAAGCATCCTCTCTTAGTGTTTATAAGCGTGGACGTCAGGATTGTCTATGTTGTGACCATCGATGTCACAATGCAGTTCCGAAATCGACAAATTTCTCACCGCTAATTTTCTTTCAATGCTCTTCTTCACGAGAGCGGCGAGAATGTAGAGAAAAAATACACTTGAACTAAATCAGTAGATACATAAATTTTTGAACTTTAAGATGAATACTACTGAAACAGCGTCTCTCTCTCTCTCTACAAGGATGCCTAAAGTTATATCTTAACAATTCTATGAATGATAATAGGAATATAAACAATAACCAAATTCCATCACAGCCCCGATTTCCCAAGAGGATAGTGCAGGTTGCAGTAAGTTCTCTTTAATGAAATGAGAGGAAATATAACAAATATATGTGGAAGCAAAAATATTTGTACTGGTCCAAATCAAGCTCGACAGTAAGTTTTCTCTAATCACCTTCGTTATTGGGCGCATGTTTTCAACGATGTCCACGATCTGGAAGGAACCTTGCTTACTTTTTCGAATGGGCTTCTGACCCGTGATCATCATCTGCTCACACACACCGTTAGTCAGTAACACGCCAGACATCCTTAACTGACCAATTGAAGTCCCGCGTACCAATTTTCTGTTAAATAAGTCGCAACAATTTACGACAATCAGACGATTCTGGCAAGCGGATGGAAAGGTTTGACAAATGCGAAACACAAGACGCATTGATGCTTCCAAAGTACAAAACTGACCATGGCAAATCCAGCAAGCTGAGCATATGCAGCAGCTGTGGCGAAATTGGTTGCCCCTGGTCCCAATGTGGACAAAGCAACACCAACTTTGCCACTCAATCTACCGACTGTTGCAGCCATGAACCCTGCGGCCTGTTCATGCCTTGTTACCACCAGCTTGATTGTCGAATTCTTCAGAGAATCGAGAAGATCGAGATTCTCTTCTCCAGGAATACCAAATATGTACCTGCCACACATCATTCAACGAGGGCGGGCTTCTAGCTGAATATATTTTCTTAAGGAAGCACTCTACAAAAGATCAATAATAGCAGACCTGACTTTCTAATCAGAACGGCATGTCTATCTCTACAGTCAAGCGAAAAGTGATCAAATTTCAATTTCTTTTTGCCTTGTCCAGTCATAACTACTACCCAGCAGTAAACTCTAAAAACAGACTTGATGAGTTAGAGCAATAAACTTCGTCGACGGATAGGAGACGACCCAAGCTTCGAAACTAAATTGCAGATAATTATTTGCCTGCATTCATCTACTTTCGCAATCAACCACGATCTAAAACTACGTGTTTGTTTTCCAAGATACAAAAAAATTGTTGATGTCGGCCGAGGTAATTTACAGATTTTAGCCACAGTTCAAAAGGTTTAATTTAAACCGACTTAGCCGACCGCAGAAAAGACTTAGACTAGGAGTATAAATTTATAATCACAGTATTGAGTTGACGGAAAGAACTTTCATTATCGCAGCCAACTTAGTACTCGCTGTGGCTACATCAGTGTTAATGCCTGTAACTGGTTTGTAAGAAAAGTGGATTGCCAAAATTGACAGGCAACAAATTTTTGGGGAGACGGAGCAATCGCTTAAAGACCCGGTCTGCATAAGGTTTGCCTATCAACTGAAAACATGTCTTACGTAACGGCCATCAAAACTGATCAACATCGTCTCTTCGGATCGCGTGCAAATTGAACACGGGCCACACGAGTCAGCTGGAGTCAACTTTAGAATGAAAAATGGTTCACTTCTTTATAGCGAAGATTACACCTGACGCACCTTCTGCGGATGTACGAGATCTACACTGCAATCTACGGAATAACCTGCTGTTGGACTTTTGTACGGTGAAACTGAATGATTAGGAGCCCAATGGACAAGAGTATACGAGCCTTCGAGATTCCCAGTATATACAGCATCCTAATGAATCTAGAAACGTCAAATTTCCACTGCTATCGTCTCTTACAAGCGACAATGTTGAATTCTTCCCAAGTCAGAGAATTATAGATCCTCAAAATGATGTTTATCAATTTGCAGTGCAACCTTAAAGTAAGTGATCCGAATTTTATGGAAACAGAATAACCATTGGAACAAATTCAAGGAGCATGAAAATAATTGCTTCGTCAGAGGCAATGTGACCAATCTGCAAAGCCCATGTGCATACCAAAGCTTCCAAATTGCCACAAATCTTCCTTCAAAGTCAGGCTGAATGCAAGGAAAGCACAACTTACTCGATGCCCTCGTTCTCGAGGGCCTTCACCATCACATCAGACGTTTTTCTCGCCATGGCTTCACACGGTCTCCTCTGAAGTAGAACGAGTTTGAAGAAAACAGAACAAACTCACTTCGGCAATCAGCTGGCAGGCCTCGCTACAATATACTCAGTCTCCACGGGCAGGCTCTGCGCCTTTCTATATATCAACTCCGACCAGTCTGCATTGCACCGGAAGATCGCTGTGAGATGTAAGGCGTGGCATCCTTCTCACAAGATAAACTCTGCCTCCTTAGACTCGAACCAAATCACCAACCAATCAACACGCTTCGGGTCGAGGAGGGCAAATTTCGAATTATTCTCGAATTCAGGCTCAAAGTTATTTTCTTTACCCGCATTTGCATAATTCGCCTCGAGACTCCGCAGATCACTGAGACACAGAAGCCAGCCCGAATTCGGTGTACATGCTCCCTCGTGCGCTTACAACAGGCCCCAAAAGCTACCGAGCAGGGCCAATGTGTGTGGCGAGGTGCTCGAACGCAAGCCCGGCTTATAATAGGCGCATTTCTTCAGTCGGACCGCATCACAGATGTCGGACTCCGGGAGGGACCATCCATCGGCCAGGTCAGACCAATGGAAGCAACCGCAGCGCCTTCGCCTCTGGGCCCGAGAGGAATCTGCCTCCCCTGCGCACAAGTCCAACCACGGTCGTGAACCCGGCCGGCCACCTCACCACATTCTTAAAATTAAAGTTCCTAATTTCTCCTCCTTTTTAATCCCCCATCCCATCGAGCTAGCGACAAGAGAGCCCTATTCCCCAGCATATTCCTCGTCCCGAAAACCATGTCCCATCGCCCCGAATTTCCCCGCTTTGTTCCGACCTCGACGATTATGGCACCACCCCACAACCTCGACAGATCTTCCGAAGGAAATCTCAAAATCGACCAGAGAGCGCGCGAATCCGTCTCTTGGTTGCAAGGAATGGCTTACTTTGCTCGTGTCGTGGCGGATTCTCTTCTCTGTCACGACGGAGCGCGGTGGAAGGCTGCACTGGCGCTCAATTTTCCATCCCTCGGCGATCGAAGAGCGGGGGCCGAATCATCAGACACGAGGCGTGGCGAGGGACCTGATGATCATGGACGCCAATTCATCAGCGTGGTCCCTTGTGTTGCAACCGGCCCCACCTTCGGCTCCTCAGAGACCGACACCTGTCTTCCACGTCATTTTGATCCGCTCGCTCCCGAATGACTCATCGGTCAGTTAATTTCAGGTTATGTGGTAAGTTACTGTACATCTTGCCAAACAAGGAGATCACCAGGTGGTTAATTACAGGATGATAATCTAGGCTAATATATACAGTTTGACTCTTAGGTGATTGTAATATAGAATATTTTCCACTGTTGTGTTATTGAAGTAAGTCAAACTTTTGTTCTGTCCTTGATAGAGCACTCTCGTTTTTTTTTCAATACTAAATAGTTACTTCTTTTAGACGTAGTTATAAGAGTTCCTAAGGATCGATCTGTATCCATATCTAAAAATTGCATCCGTGATGTCGGAAGAAAATCATTGACACAAAGTTGGGGTTTTAGAGAAGATCGATAGCTCGTGATACTGAGACATGTGCATGACATAGATTGAAATAAACATACACATTTCTACGGTAGATCTATGGTAGTATGGAAGATAAACTGATCTCTAAAGGCGAATTCTAGATAAATAATTTTTTATCATTTCAAAGAAAAGGAAAAATATGACCTAATTTGGCAAAAATATATTTTTTACACCAAACTGTTGGTACGGGCCAGCCCCAAACGCATCACATTAAAATATACATATTAATGCCACAAATTTATGTGAATTAACTAGACTATATTGTCTTTAAAAATTATGAGAACATATGTAAACATCAACTTACTTGATTTATCTCCTAATTGTAACATTAACTAGTGCTCTTTATACAGCAAGACTGTCTAAAGTGGTCTCTAATATAATTGATTAAAGAAATTTATACCTTACACTTGGTGTCTCTTCACTTGTTGTACATCAAGTTCTTCCCTATAGAGTTAAACCTCCCAATATAGACATACATTGGTTCTATAGTTTTATGTCATTATTGGGAGGTGTCACTCACACGAGGTTGGATAATATTTAGTGTATCATGTGGAGACATTCTTATTGTATATTTGGCGGTTCAAATTTGAACTTACATCAACAATGATCAATGAGATTATAGTTATCTGATATTTATGATGAGAAGATTTCCAATACATAAGATTTCATACTTGCCTATATATCAGCAATTTATACTATATAAAACTTTTGAAATTTCTGTACTCTATTGTATATAGAAAGTTTTTACTACTCAAAGAATTACATGGCTCAATCGAGAAGGAATTTTTCTCGTTTGAGAAATATTATGAACCAATTCTGCTTGGTAAATTTTGCAAAACTCTCTAGATTACAATGGTAGTTATAATCAACATGAATATCAATTGTCAAAATTGAATTTTTCCATTTTTACCTTGACTTAGAAATTTGAGCTGGTTGAAGAGCCCAAGATTTTAGTCGAAATTGAATTTTTCATTTTGTCCCTTATATAACTCGGAATATCTCAATGCTAAGTGTTTGGATCACACTGAGCACTAACGCCATCCTGGAACAACCTTTGTACAAATGATGTGCAAAATAATATCAATTTCGGTAAGATATGTTTCATCGCGAAATTCAGAGCACACTTCCTTAACTTATGCTCCGAGCATAAAATCAGAACATCCACGTATTTTTGGGACCTGTCTTGTTAGACATATATAAGTCACTATTGCCAATAGTGACTTACGGTTCTTATTGAACAGATTTATACATTAGAAACTAATGGTTCCACATTTTCATGTCACTAATGGGAGTATGTCACTCATAGGAGGTGACACTATTGGGAGGTTTAATTCTGTATTTGAAAAAGAACAGAGCAGGGCGGCCGGGATAGAGCTTTGCGCTTTCTCTGGCCTTTCAAGAAAATGCAAGCTTGAGAGTCCAACAAATATATATATTGCTATAGTTTCCGCAACACTTATACAATACTTACCCTTTTGAAAAATATGCTATGAGTAGGATCAACACTCATCCATTTTACATCTATCAGTAATATATGACAATATCTTTATATAGAGAAATATGAATATTCTTACTGTAATCAATCACTAGAGATATCAATGTTTTCTTCATGAGAGATGTATACATCATATAATAAACAAATTAGAGAGTGGTGTTTGCAAAGCTACATTAAATATCAACCTCAAGCACCATAATAATAAATATTGAATGGAAAAGATGAATATACTATGTATCTAAATTAATAATCTATTAACAGAGGAGAACTGAAATGTGAAATATTGAAAGATCTATTATATTAAAGATACCATGCTTGGAAATGTGATGCTATTGTTACTCTCAAGGATACTGATTAGTCCAAAGATCTATCTAATAAGTTACTTCCCCTTTAATGCTGAAATAATTCGACCTACGCAAATCCGGCTTCGAAATTGTTGAACTTTTCAAATTTTTCAATTGAACGTTTGACCTCGCAAAACTATTAGTCTACTAAAGTTTAGTCAATAGAAGTAACCTGCATGAAGTCAGCTGTGAGATACGACACGGTCGAACAGGTTTATATCAAATCTTGACTTTTCCACCAAAAGCTGACATGATAACCACTCAGAGTTTTTTTCTTTTTTTCTTTTCGGATCAAAGACTTTGTCATAACTCTTTCCTAGTCAAACACTTCTCACAAAGTCCTAGATTTGTGTTGACGCATATTTGGAGAAATGGTTCTTGATAAGGCTCATTGTGTTTATGGTCCACGGAAAGGTACAACATAGTTTATTTCATTCCTGTAGTGTCGTGGAAGAAAGCTTGAATAATTTGAACGCAAGTACAGTTCCTGAACACCTTCTTTTTCCTTGTTTCGTTCCTCAGCCGCTTAGCAAATGGAATACTTTTTGAGAACTATTCGACAGTTTTAGTAAGCTTCAATATTGTACACGGCTGTAATACCAATTTCACAAATATATATCAATAGAATTGTTTAGAGAACTGAGAAACCCAGAAAGCGTGGTCCGGTATAATCTACATGTGAGCTTAGCATGGCAAAGATATTGAGTTTCATTCCATTGTTTCACTTTCACTTATTTCTTCATAGTGATTCATAATATTCTTACGATCATATTAGGATGTTCATTATAGAAAATTGGTACATCGAGTATTCCTAAAAAATATCTCACGATACTACTGATTATGCGTGACATCTACAACAAATTCTACAGAGACAGAAGCAATAATATCACATTCGAATTCAATTTTTCGTGACATGATAAAACTATGAATCTCTATAATTAAATAATCTATAATAATATAAAGAATAATATTAAAAATGATGTTTTCAAAATTCAAAACATATAGCTTTTCAATTTCAAAAATGATATCAACAAATATAGCATTTGTTAATATAAATTCTTACTTATTTCAAATTATAAATATTAGTAGATTCAAGTACAAGGTTAAAGTCAAGTTTTATTTCTTAGATTAGAATATATAAAAGTATTATCAAGAAGTCTATAATGTAGCTTGATATTGATCTAACATCACGTTTTTCACTCAAATAAGGTAACCGGTTATCAACAATACGAATATACAATAAAGTGAATAGTGACATAATATTCAAATTCAATCCAATAAGAAAATATATAATCCACCTTAATCAAAGTCAAGAAGACTAAATTTTCACCTCATCCACTGAGATTACTCAACTAAGTGATGAAAGTTGAACTGTGTTCTGCAGAATGCTTAAAACTTTTACATTTGAATAACACGCTATGATGGCAAGAAACGTGTCAAAGCGTACAGAAACTCTGAAAATTGCACTTACTCCAACTTAACAAGGAAAAAGCCAACTATAAAGTTAGAAATCTTGTAAAAGCTTTGGGGCTCCATAAGCCCTTTTTTTATCAGTCAGAGAAATGTATCTTTATATTGATAGGTATTTTTGTAACTCAAAAGAATTCTTATTATAATATAAAAAAACAGAGACTCACTGGTCTCATGTTACATGAAAATTCAAGAAAACTCTCAATCTTGAAGATTCAATACAATTGATTGGTAAAACAATTTATGTAGTGAAAACCTTCTAGATCAAGGTAAGAGAGATTAGTGCCATAAGCTTCACTGATATATCAATACTTCTTTTCACAAACATTGAATAAAACTATTTCTGTAAACAATAATACTTATTTGAAATAACAGTAAAGCTTGTTGGCTATCACGAAGTATGTCATGATAGCCGCTCACGATTTAACTTGCTTTTAATGCAAGTTCAAATCATCTTGTCCGTGATGTATAGTGTTCTACATGATAAATTTTATATTATTTAAACAAATTTACATTTATTACAATAACACAGAACAAATAGTCAAACTCTGACCAATCAAAATTTAAAATAAACCTGATTTTTTTAAATTTCCATGATAACCTTGAAACAGAAAACACAATTGTTCTTATGAATTCTCTCATTTGCAAAATAAAGCAACAAGAATTTTTAATAGCTTTATACATATCCCATATATCCTTTAGATCAAATTATTGATTCTCAAGTTTAACTGAAACATAATTTCTCAGTTACAATCTTCATGCCATTTTATTTGACTTCATCAATCAAATATGAAAAGTGAGATGATTGATGCGTGTGAGTATTAAGAGTTGTATGTATAATATACAAATGAACATTTAATCACATGAAAAAGCATGCATTTTCAAACTTTCAGTAATAAGACTTGCTAAGTAACAATCTCAAAATCATTCAGCAATTTATAAATAAATCATAAAATGATATTCGCTTTATATGATACACATCTTATAGATTTCTGCTTTGAAACATGTTCACATCTTTAAGTTGATGGGATGATTCTTGCTTACAATGTGGTGTAATCAGGCTTTGCGGTAGTTTGAATCTTTATTTTGAATACATAAAATAATGGGCTAATTTTTGTCAAAAATTTATCAATTCAGTATAACAATAAAAATTCATTATGATTAGTTTGATATTTTAAGATAATTTATTTTTAATTTTAGATATTATATTTTAGATGATCTTATATTTGAATTTTTTAACCATCAGTAATCATATATTGTTTTCTTTGTTAAAAGTTCACTTGATAAATAATTGTCAATTGATTTCATGCATTGATACATGTTTATTGAAAGTAAGTGTATTGAAAAATGAAGCAAAGAAGAAACTTGCAATGTCAATTATATTGTTGAGCTTCAATCACTTAAATATTAAGTGAACTTTCAAACAACAAAGTCTCTTAATCTCAATAATAAAACATTTTAATATAAGTAAATAAATATTTTTTATTTCCATATTCATGGAAACTGTATTAAAAAAAGGTCATAGTTTTTAACATTAAAATTTTTGATCATATATTTTTATTATCATTTTATCAACTAATTTAAATATTGAAATATAAACTACTATCTTTCATCATTTTGTTTTAAATTTTAATTTCAAGTAAAAAAAAATTAACAATAATTTGAAAAAAAAAAACAAAAAATTTTCATGTCAATCACTTTTCAAGAGGCTTAAGATGTAAATACGGTTATTTGATCATATTTTTTAAAAATATAAAATAATAATAAAAAAATTTCTACAGGGGATCAAGGTAATCTTTTGACTTTTAATCCCTATGGTCCAGTTTCCTTATGAAAAAACTAAATTTGCAGAATAATTTGTTCGCTACAGAATATTTCATCAAAGAATACATGTATATTTTATATTTTGGATATACATACATACAAACATATCTAACAGACTTGAATGTTGTCAATTTGTTACATCAAAGTCAAGAACTACTTTGTTTGTTAAAGATTATAAGTTGCTGACTCTTTGTATAATGCCATATCACCACGATTCACATGATAAATTCTTATACAATCATAACTGGTCACGTCTCTTATATTAATCTGTTGGTCTGTTGCTATTTTTTTGTGAATTTCAGAAAATAATTGGAGATTTATGTGTAGCATTTTTCCGTATATATTGTCAATTTTAAGAGTGGTGAGCAGGATAACCATAAACCTATAACTCCACGCTACTTTGTCATCCTGATGATGTGAGGTTGCGACATTGTTTCTTCTTCTGGTTTAGGGTTCTTTGTATATTTCATCGTTTGACAACTTGAAGAATTTATCATATTAAATATCGAGAAAAAGTTGTTTAGGTGTTACAAAAAACACTGGAGCTATGTTATGAATCCCGTTTAGAATTCTAAGGCAAGACCATGTAAAATTTACAGTAAATAATATGAAATTGAAAGTTGAAAATAATCGAGTGTTTCAGTTTAACAAAATATTCCTCCTTGTACATTTTCATACTTCGACCCCGCAATTCTTTTTAGTCTTCTCACCAATCATGATAATGATTTAGGTCATTTGAACTACTTTTGCTCTCAAAGATATTTACGTCGATACTCTCAAACAACAGATTTTGTGTACAATGTTTTCCAAGGGAGTTACTCAGTCAAGGAAGCTGGGTGCACTTGAGCGCGGTAGAATGAACTCTTCGTTCTTCAGTACTACAGAGACTACTCAGCAAATTTGGGCAGCAAATTTCACCATGTTCATCACTAACAGCGGCGAAAGGAGATGAAGAAAAGTCCAAACTGGACTAAGATAATAGCTGTCAATAAAGTTGTGGATTTTCCCATAATTCGTCTGTTAGTGGACAGAAGCTGAAGCAAATTCTCTTCAAATAATCTTACTATGATAGACCGAGATGGGTAATCTGAAAAGGAAAAATTATGAACTATCCACACTAGTTTGATGTACATTTAGTAATGTGGTAAACATGATCGATTCATATAGTAATATAGTTAGATGCACTAGGGACCACGTTATTGGAGGCTTTTTATTGCACAAAAGAGTAACTAAAATGAAAGGAGTGTGAACTCATGGAGAAAAAAGAATGATGGGAAAGCAACCATGGAATATCTAACTAACTCCAACAAACGCCAGAGAAACCCTACCAAGGACAAAGAGAGAGAGAGGGACAGAGTAGTATCTCTCGTTATAACCACACATCGAGTACGAACCAGACTAGTTAAACTAGTTAAGGTGAACAGGTTACTGTAGAATGCGAATTGCGCTAAAATGTGCAACGGCACCATGACTGCGTTACACTCTATTGCGGATAGAACGAGGACATCGTCGACCAAATTTGGGCCTCCCGAGTTTACGGAGTACGATGGAGCCCAACTATTCGCTACTTTCCTGCGGTGGATGGAAAGGCGGGGTTCTTTCTACTGCAGTAAGTGACCCCAGGTGGACCTACGTTGTTCGTTGATCGAGTGAACCACGTACGTGGATGTGGGGGAAAACCTAAGGCACGACGGGAGAGGAGCAAGACCTAAAAGGCTCGAGAGATCGCGTTTACGATTCTTCTTGCAGGCTTTGCTTCAGCGCTAGGGTTTGCGCTCGACACACAGAGCGAGCACCTCCTTCACCGTTCAGTAATCTCGTCCCCTGCGTTACGGTCATCATGGTGAGCACTGGCAAATTTCGGCTGCTGTGGTCCTGCATGCGTGACATTTCTTCGTTCTGGCAATTACCGACTGTGAAAAGAGCGGGCTTTGACATGTGCATCTTTCGAACTCGATCTGCATTGGGGATTTTAGTCGTTTCGCATCTTGATTTCTACCTCTAGTTTTGTGCCATTGTATGAAGAGAGATTCCGTTTTCACGACTTCGGTTTTTGCTAAGAGCGTCGCTTGGGGCCGTTTTTGCAGCCTTCCCAAAAGACTTTTCTGATCAAGAAAAAGCTGGCGAAAAAGATGCGCCAGAACAGGCCGATTCCACACTGGATTCGCATGCGCACTGACAACACAATCAGGTAATTGATGAATGTTTGCCAAATTTGCAACTGTCGTAACTCGATGCTTCGCACGTCGCGTATTTCTCCCTTTCTTTGTAAAATGGTTGTTCGGTTTGAGTTACGTAAGTAAACGGACATCACAGTAGGTCAGGGGCTTGAGAAATATACCTAAGAACGAACTCTCCGCACCACATCCGCAGGTACAATGCCAAGCGCAGGCACTGGAGAAGGACCAAGCTCGGATTGTAGAGTGCCGAAACAGCATTCTCTTTCAATGGATCTGGTCTTTACTTCAACTTCATGCCACAGAGCGTGCTCGCGACGCTCGATTGCCTATGATTGGAACTGAACAGTACAAGCAAGGTGGCCTAGGAACTGGAGAATTTCAAGGCTGCTGAGTTGTTGCTGCACTTAATACTTTGTCTTCACAGATTAATTGTGTAAGAAGAGAATACTTGGTACCTGAATCACAGAAATGGGATAATTTTTTTCCCAATTTTTGCCCGCTTATCTGTGTATTGTAATGGGCCTCAACTGCTCTCGACTTTCTATGTAATGAGCTTTTATCAACGGGTTTCGTCGTTGTCATTCCGAAGGTTGGTTCCATCCATTCCACTTGATTATTAGACGATTTTCCTGTATCGGTTGTGTAATGATTCTCGAACGCGTACTCAATCATCTGCGTCGTGAGTTCCAGTCGTATTACCAAGAGGCATCCACTTAGGTCACACAGATGCACTTCCCGAATCATGTTCTAAGGACTATTGTCCAACAATGACAACGTCAGCTGCACATAAGATGAATCAGTATCCACATATGCTCGTATCTGGCGCTCAATTATCCTATTTCCTCGAAGGACATGTTCATTGTCCGTGGACCGTCTTGACTGCAGCTTTTCCCAGCAGGTCTGTCTGAATTCTGATGTGATTTAGTTCGTCGTTCGTGATATAGTTTGAAAGTTCAGTCTGTTGGTTGATTCCGCAACAGGCAAATCACCTGAAGTAGTGAAACGCGCATGTTTTACTTGATTTGCGAGAGTGGAAGTTGTCTCCGGATATACAGAATCGATGAGGTATTTCAGCCAGGAAGTTATTCGAAACGGGGGTAGTACTTACGGAGTTGTGAGGCTGGACTGTACCGGGAGCTTTTCTTCAAGCTTCGTATCATACACGGAAACGTCCGTTCAATAATTGTGAATACTGCAGGGAGAGGATGTAGCATTTGGGGAAAACACCCCAACCATTAACATATTGGATCAAATAGAATGTTGGGTTTAGTGGACTAAGTGGCGGGTAATTCTTGTAGACACAGGAAAATCTCAGAAAGACAAAACTGTAAACCTTCGGTAAATGAAATTAGACATGAAAATATCCACACACAGCAATATATTCTCAGAGTGCTTATTTCAGCTGCCGTGAACTTAAGAAAATGAAAATGCATAACTTTTGCGAGGTCTCACGAATGGGAACACAGAACCATCCCTCATACGTAAAGACCGCCTGCCGACCTCGGGAGGAAAGGGCAAGGTTGTAGTCATCAAGATTAAAAAGTGTAATCTACTTGTCATGAAAACTGACGGGAAATAGTAAGAAGTATGAAGTGAGGCACACTCCGATAGATGCAGAAAGCTATCGGAGCACAGAAAAGTGCACTTGGACCGAGAAACTACCTTAACCAGCAAATGTGCCTATGGGTCTAATAGGCGGACACCTGGGTGAAGCCAAAAAACGGAGTTCTCAATGCCAACTCATTCGGATAAGAAGCAACGATAACTACATTTAATCATCTTCTTACTCAGCCGACTCCTCTGTGGCAGATGTATACGGACTTTGCCAGAAGCAAAGAATAAGTTATGTAGAACGATAGAAAAAATTGAGACGATTTTCGCTATGAAAGAAAAGAATACTATCGAAGCGTCACGACCAAACACTTTTCCGCCCGCTAATCCCCGCCGAAGGGTTTGATGTTTGAACACAGCGTGGCGGAAGAATGTGTTCACACATCGCAGGCGACCGTACCTGGACATAACCAATTGAAGTAACTAAAGAGAATCATGGCAGCGTAAGCCGATGGGAGTAACTGCCCAAGTCTGTCAAGCGGAATGTCACTGAGTTCAGTTGAGCTGTTGTTCTGCTAACAACTAAATCGTCAGTGCCTTCAGTTGAACAGTCTGTTACACGAATCGAAGGGAAAGAACGATAAGAACAATCTTAGGAAAAATATACGCCCTCGCAAATCTGCTCAGAAACAGATTCGCAAGCCTCTTCGACACAAGCGTCGTCTTGATTTTGACATGTCTTATGTACAGAGTCTGTCGTCTCTCACCGAACTGAAGCATAGCCAACGCTACCGACCAGTCTTCGCGCGGCTTTGGCAGACGATCGAAACGCCTCGTTACATTCCACATCAGCGAAGAATCAGCGCAGCAGAAGATCAAGATAACTCGGCGTAGAACACGGCCACCGATACCCAGCAGCTGTAGACTAGTGACGCGAAGAAATCGCACACTGACGTAAACTGATATCTGTGAAAGCTCGCGTCCACTTGCTACGCTTCGGTTGCGAATCGAAGAAACATGACTTCATTCGATCCCCACCACTGGAAGTGCACTCCTGAGTACATTCCTCCAATCCACCCTCCAGCCAGAAATGTCCGCAACAAATATGAAGGCCGCACTAATACATCTACCAAGACTGTCAAAGTGGCGCAAAGCTTCTACGGGGTAAATCTATTCAGCTATATCCTGCAGAAGGCCAGCCAAAGAGTACATTTCGTCTCAGTGTAATTTTTGGCTTTCAGCGCATCATTATGCAGACGCAAGAGGATTTTATATTGCAGACGATGCAGATAACCATTCCAACGCCCTTAAATTTCCTAGTCTTTGTTTGCCATCCAGATTTTGTTCCCACACCCTCTCACAGGATACAAGATGCCAGGAGCTTCCGGACAATCGCCCGCCTTCGATGATTTGACGTAAATCCACTATTCCTCGAGCCTTCAGCTGTTCTGAAGCATTTACAGAGAGGTCCTGCGTCTGGATCCTTGTGTTATCTAAAGAAAGTTACCATGTTGGAGATTGTCTTTCTCATTGGTACTCTCGTAGATTCGAAATCGTTCGTTCTGGAGAAGTACTGAAGGTGGGGCGATCTCGTGCATGTTGTTCAGCACAAACCAGTACTTCCAGGGCCAAGTACGCAAGGTCGGCGAGGAGGTGGGTCAAGGAGATAAGAAACTGATTCCGTATCATCCAGACGCCACCCGAAACCGCCCAAGAGCAGAGTCTTGTACAGACGTTGGACTTGCGAACTTCGACCGTCGCAATGCTAGCTACATCAAGTAATGTGTTCTCACGATCTTCCTCACCCGATAACTAGCGTGCACGTCCTCTTTTCTTCATTTCGATTGTTAAGGTTTACAAGCTGTGGATAGCGACCATCGCATACTTGAAGTGTTCGTAACAGAACGGAACTATTGTATCGTGCGGGTTTGTAAATTGGTCTGCATTAGTATATACAGCTTAGAACTTTAGTTTTCAGATTTCACCCCGACCACTAGAGAACGTGCAATCTATGTTTGAGTGGATGTGATGAAGCGGTGTCGGGCGCGCACTGTGAACTAAATATGTACACTTTTGGTTCGGTTCAATACGCAGTCCATTCCACCAAGTGGTTTCGTTCATGAGCACATATGGAGGAGGTGTCTGTCAAAGTACTAACAACTAGATATCGTAATTTTCGGTTTATTGGCTCTGTTTTCACTTCGGGTGTAACAAACATCCGCGTCCAAAACTGGTGCAATCTCTCTGATTGCACTGAAGTCTCATCCTACCGTGATTATCTACAAGTTCCAACCACCGTTTCCAATTAGATCATTAAAATGTAAAATCTTCACAGTAAAATGTGAGGAGCACAGCATGATCCACTTCGTGTTATATATTTTGGAAGTAGTAGAAATTCCCTGCTCGTTGTAGAAGTTGTAAAAATTGTAACGATTCTCCATCTCTAAACCCGACATCTTTCACAAATCTTGGGCTCTATCCCTACATTTTAAAAACTCGACCTTTATATTGCCACAGTTTTTGTCGTCAAAAAAACAAGGATATCTTCACCTGCACCTCTGGTCACGGGACGCTTGAGGTCTTAGCGTACCAACTCGTCCCTTAACCACAGAAGAACCATAACAATCTGAGTGAGCTGAGCAGGTTGAAGCACGGAAGGGCATCGAAATCTACTCCCAAAACTACGAACCAACTCTTCATGGGTCCACCTCCCAAGGAAACTCCTGGCCTTTGGCATTCCGGCATCTGCAGAGGTGATAGCTTGAATCATAATCCTTCTTTCCATCCTCGAGCTTTAAACGGAAGAATGGTACACTATCTCCGACAAGACTACTTTATTTGCAATCCTCCAAAGTACGCTCCTTCCGAAGAGAAGTCCAGTCTAATTCGGCCCTTGAAATACTACTGCCTGCACTAAAGATCCAGCATGTACTTCCCTGTGTGATCATACTGAATTACCTCCCAGTTTAAGAATATACTTACTCATCAAGTGAGTCGCGTGTTTTGCATCCACAGACCGGGCCATCTGGTTGCATCGAAAGCAGCAAGGCATGGCTGGGAATTGAGCATGAACTGTTACTGGTGACTTAAATGACCCAGAATTGAGTGTAAATAACGGCGTTAGACAAGAAAAACCGCTCCCATGGAGATATAGATAAGGTGAGTAGACATTATCCTCGTCGATTGTGACAGGGCAGCGACGAAGTGACAGAGAATCTAGAAATCAGACATTATATACTTCAGGGTCACCGGGCATTAAGATTGACACGTTCACAGAATTTTGTAGTCATGCACGTCAGGTAAGCACAGAAAATTTTGAGAGTAATAAGAAGAGAGTAGTAAGCACTGCCCTTCAGGCTAAAGTTGACATTGTATATGGGCACAGCCGAGAAAGAAGAGTGATCAAAAATTAACAGGGCAAGTGTTACAGTCCAGAAATAATGTGGGTGAATACTTGCGCACTGCGTTCCGCTGCATTATCATTAGCAACATGGCCCTTAAGTTTACAACCAGGGCAGACCCGTTGGCTAAATATCTGGCACAAGCCCTTCACAATTCGGGGTGTGCCGTAGTTCAAAGAAAGGGCCCGCTAATGGATGGTGCGAACGAGCTAGGTCTGCCTCTAAATTGTTCAGACCTAACACGAAGTAAGGATTCCCAAATTACAGTCTACATATCAGTACCTCGAGATTTTCACTTTCGGATTGGCTTGCGAGCCTTGGAGCTCTTCTTGACGCCGGCCTTAGCTACACGAAGGCTTTTGTGTACAGCGGCTAATCGAGCCAAAGCAGATTGCTTCAAGTCGGGTCTGTATCCGTTCTCTGCTACCTGAGACAGTCAAATATTCAAATTTTAAGCCTTAAACCATGCCTCAAGCCCCTACACACATTCATCCGTTCGATCCCAGAAAGGCTAACTTGCAAATGTGCACGTATTATACCTGGTTAACGACGGCGCGAGCCATCTTCCTGAAGTCTCTCTTCAGGACCGACCTGTTGATAGACTCGGCAGGCTTGTTACCCTTCTTGGTCTTGGTAGTGGCCAAGGTGACCGACAGACCCTCGCCAGCTGGGACGATGGACACGGTCTTCTTGTTGGCCAGACCTGAGACCAGTTGTATATTAGAATTAGGTTTGAAGACTCCAATCGGCACAGAAATTCAACACACAAGCACGAGGGAAAAAAAAAGGAGACTACCTGAGTACTTGAAGGTGTTCTTGTTGTACAAGTTGTTCGGCTCGGAGCTGAACTGTACAGAGCGGTTGTTGTTACCGTTCTGCTTGACCAAGAAGGAGTTGTTCTTCTTCACAAGTTGCCACAAAAGATCGGGAGACGCCATCTTGGTCTAGAGATAAAACGCACAATAAAATCAGATTCGCTGATTCAAGGTCACACAAACAAAATTCACAATGCTGCACAGTTTTTGAGATTTGGTCGAACCCACACCGTAACAATTTTGCAACACTGCGGAGCATCCATGGAAAAACCAAACATTGGAAATTTTTCGCAATCCTGAAGCTCACCATGATAACCGTAACGCAGGTGCCTGAGATTACTGAATGGAGAAAGTGGTGCTAGCTCTGTGAGTCGAGCGCAAACCCTAGCGCTGAAGCAAAGCCTGCAAGAAGAATCGTAATTGCGGTCTCTCGAGCCTTTTAGGTCTTGCTCCTCTCCCGTCGTCCCTTAGGTTTTCTTCCACATCCACGAACGTGGTTAACATACTCGTTGAACGACGTAGGCTTCCAAGCTTTACGTGGTCTTTGCTACTGGAGCGCGTTGGCCTGGCACAAGGCTACGCTGATGTAGTTGCGCTCGTCCCCTGGTGTACTTGGTCGCCATCGACACGATTCAGGAACACGGTGTACAAGGATTAAGGGAATCAAAACTTGCTTCCCCCGAAGTAAAATAACTTTCCTGTACAAAGGTAAATGAAGCTACAAATTGTCAACCCAAAAAACGATAGTCTATAGCTCAAGCTCAAACAAGTAATATCACTCATATGATGTAATATGACTAATAGGTACTACAGTTACGTAAATGAAAATTTTGAAAAATATCTGCAGCTGTATTTATCATGATCTAACATTAAATAACATAACTTGTTGAAATTTTTGCGTGTTGTCATAGACTAGTCATCATAAATATGCTCAACTAGCACAGATAACTTAAAATAAAACTTCTTCCTTTTTTGTGAATCTCATCACCATCCACCAACAAAATTATTCCATCTAGAATGATTCATTTAATCTATTTTACACACAAATCTTTTTTCTTTTTAAACTATCACACTTAGTAAAGATTACATGTGAACTCATTTTTTTAACTGTTTATAAAAATAATAATTATATCGTTCATTATACGTTCAGATATTTAGTTTCAAAATTTTTTTCCCATTATATTTATAATTTTGAATCTGTCATTTTGTGACTTTTTGGCCAATTTCAAATATCGAATTTCAATTTATCCTTCATCCACACTAGAAGTTCAGAAATTTACTTTCAAAATTTGTGACCCATTATATTTGTGAATTTGAATCTGTCATTTACTGAATTTTTGGCCAATTTCAAATGCCGAATTTCAATTTATCCTTCATATACACTAGAAATTAAGAGTGTAATATGCTTTACTCAATAAATAACATGACAATATTTATTTTTGTCCTCATTTCACACACTTCTAGCTCATTGTGAACAACTTCAGCTTCTTAAACTGTAAAATTTTCACATTATGATCACATTATCACATTATCAACACACAAAGATTACAAAAATGTTGGGTTCTTTTTGTCTAACATACACATATATGAATTCTTCCTTGCCACTAGCTTTTTACTCTACTTTCTTGTTAATCAAGGAGATCTTGCATTCAAACAAATTACTAGAAATAATTCAGTTATATTACAAAGTTTTATCGTAATAATCACATTATCAACACACAAAGATTACAAAATTTTGGTGTTCTTTCTGTCTAACATACACAGAGATAACGTTGTTATTAAATTTAATATGTTGTTTTTATTTTATTTCTAATACATTCAAAAAAGAAGATATGAATTTTTCTTTGCCACTAGCTTTTTACTCTACTTTTTACTACTTTACTCTTGTTGATCAAAGAGATCCTCCATTAACAAATGGTTGCATATGTATGTGTTCAATCTTTCGAGTCTCGCTATTTATGTCAAACGTTTATGTGCATTATCAAAGATAAAATGTTATGATATCTTTAAAAAATAAGATTTTTTTCTTTCTGCGCACCCTATTCGAGCCACATTTTGTCTTAAGCAATCTAGATCACAGTCTATCAGCTCATGCTATCTTAAAAAAAGAAATTCATGTAGTATTGATACAAAATTTTATAACTAGTTGCAGCCGAAAATTTTGCACATGACCATTTAACTCATTTTTCTATGAATGAAAAATTGATATCTCAACAATTTCGATTTTGAAACTTTGAATGAATTTGCAAGATTCACATTTATATATTTGTTTGAAGAGAATGTATTTCTAAAGTAAAGTTTACTCAACAATATGCACAAGGTCTCACTCTTATGAAAATTATTGATACTTTTGTTTTAATCTATGACATCGTATTATACAAAATTGAGCTGTAGAGCACATTACACATATTTGCTCTAGGGCTTGAACATGTGAACTCTGTTGACATATTTTGATTTTAGCTATGCTTATACTTCTTCGATCTCATCAGTAGCCTCATGACTACTTGACCAAGAGTTGGTTCTTCATCAGACTCTCACCTTGAACTCCTCATTCCTTTACAGGACACTTACAGCTTTTAGTATTCGTAATTGTACTTTAAAAATTTTAATCGATAATCCATGCGATAATTTTCTTACCCACATGATCTTGTTGTAATTCTTGGGTGGAATGTGTTCCATCACATGCCCACCGTACCATCAAACAACTGCTTGTTTATATGAAACAAATAACAAGTTGTATTAAATTGTGTTAGAAATGTATATACATTTCTAACACATGTCATGAGGTGATGCATTAGAGCCAACCATATTGGGAAAGATAGATATCAATGTACATATCTTATCATGTGTCGATTGCTCTTCTACGTATTCGTTTGTTAAATATGTATATTTTTTAAACCAAAATGCAAATGGATGTGCAATCCATTAGGATATCAATCTAAGGCAAAGATTCTCTGGACGGTGCAATACTATGTCAAGGTTTGGTGCAAAACATTATGGTATCTTAGTTGGATTACTACATATTCACTTTCTTGATGGCTAGAAAGATCCCCATCCAAGACTTGATGGGATCTGCCCATATCTTTTGCTCTCATATTCATATTTCCTCTTACCAGTATTGCTTTTCTATTTCTTTATTGGTTCAATATCACCTCTGTCCATTTCACTTTAGTAGCATTGTACTTTAATACTGGATATGGGTTTTTTGTTAGCTAAAGTGTATACGCCGGATATTATTGTGTTATTCTGTGCACCTCGTTACCATTTGTGGGTACAGGCTGGAGAGGTGCAACGGTGAGCATCGGAGCATTCATGCGGTGATCATATGCATCTATGCACGGCTCGATGGGCTCTTCCGATACTTTCGGTTTCCTATTTTTAATTCGACCATCCGAAAGACAAGCGTCTGGCACTGTGACGCCCTTTTGCGTCGCGAGAAATATTTATGGAAATAGCGTTTTCTAGACGCTGCGATGCCGGATCTGTGGAACCTGCTCTTGCTGCTAACTGCCTGAACAACAGAATTGACATCCCTGCCTCGATGATCGATTGATACATCCACGAATCTGTCAACGCCATAGATTCTGGAATTTATGCGACTCATCCGACGCTACGAATTTGAGCGACGTCGAACACGAGGACAATTCGACGCAATTATCGTCGAGGAACACGTGCTGCTGCTGTGGTCCTGGTGCGCTGGGAAGGATTTTCAGTGCACGGGATGACAGCGTAATTTTGAGATGGTCGAAGAATGAGGTGCAGACCTGTTTTTGACCTCTGACCGAAAGGAGAGAAGCTGTCAGAGAGGGGAGATGGAGGAAGATGGGAAAAGACCTCTGAAAGAAATCGCGGAGGCGTTTTCTGTCTTGGCTGATAACGTGAAAAACGGGCAAGATTCTGGAGTTGATATCGCGATTTTTGCTCGAGCCTGTGATCTCATCTCCATACTTTTCAGTTCTTTGGGAATCGCCTTCAAGTTCGCCGAGAAGGACTATGTCTCCAAGGTGGTTGTCTTTGTCTACCCTATGTTCCCATCTATTTATTGATCATATGTGGACCCTATGACAAAGGCGACTCTAGAACTGATTGTGCCTCGAGTGAAGTAATTTCGTATTTTACTTCCTTTTCGCTAGCCCAGATCAGCTCATTGTGACTAATGCAACTCTTCTAGACCTTACTTTCAATGAGGGAGTGATATGATCTCCATATATGTATTCATCGTTTCCAACATACTCGATCGCAGCGTGGATAGTATCAGAACACATTTTTAAAATCACTGTCATTTAGGATCCTCGGTATGAAGTTTTGGCAGCATGTTATTTTTTCCGAATGACACAATTCAGTTACCTCAAAGGTACCATTGTCGGTTTTCTGATTCTTATCGTCTCTTTGCTCGTTCGCCTTGTCCTTGGTTACCCTTGCTATGTTAACCTTTTCGTCCGCTGACTTGGAATTATCTTCGCTAATTTCATTGTAGGACTTCAAAATTAGAATTCTTTCTGTTTAGTCATTTGAATTTGTTGTGCTCAAGCAAGCAGCTGTCAGTCGATATCATCATTTATCATCCAAAGAGCAGGTTGTGTGGGGCTCAGTCCAAGAAGTGATCGGCTTTGTAGCTCCGAAAGCAGCAAAGAAGGACGTGATTCTCACAGGAGGGCCTCGTAGTGGAACTCTTATATACCTGTCTGAGGTTGCTTTGAGTTTGTTTTAGTTTCTTAGTCTAGTGGAAGAAAACACCAATTTGTAATCTCGTACGTCTGAGCTACCTTTTTGTCGGTTGATTTTGAAAGGCATGTTCATCCGTGACAATGAGAGTGTCCTCCTGGCTTGTATCAATTCTATTGATTTGGCGGGTTATCAGTGACCGCGTAATGTCCAACTAAACCATTTAACAATGAAGATCGTTTAAAGCTGCTGCTCTTTGGAATGTGGATTTAAGATTCTCCTTTCATTTTGTAACTGGAGATAGTCAAAGTGAACCATTCGCGACATTGATATCGAGCCTTCGCCATTTATTTTTCTTTTTAATTGTATGTAGTTTTACAAAGTGGATGTCGTATGATCATCAGTTTCGTCTTCCATATTGTCTGTATTATTACCTTTTCCACTATGCAACAGGGTTGAGATGGCAATCCTAGACTCGTTTCAGAAGATGAACAGCTGATATGTATTTGTTACGACGCAAAGCAGCTGATACTTTAATTCCGTCTAAATATTGTAAATGACTTCAGAACACGTTGTAACAAGAAGGTCTGAACATAGATTTCTCAAGTATTGGATGTGAATTTTGGGAGTACGTACTCTGATCTGATGCTTTAAGCCTTCTCCTCTGTATCTAGGTTAAAGATCTGTTGGATGCATCTAAGGAGTTTGACAATATAGCAGCAATGGTAGATTCCGATATCCAGGCTGACAAGGTGAAACAAGGTGGCAGTCACACGCGTAATCTGCTTCGTGTCAAACGAGGAATTGACATGGTCCGACTTCTTTTCCAGCACGTTCTGACGACTGAGTGAGTCGCTAGAACCTTTCCACCTATGTTGTTGCATGGTCACTGAAGTGTGCAAATTTTCAGAAAAATGTATGCGATTCCAAATACATCTCATACAGAAGTTTTCAAACGGTGACTCACAGGTTCCAATCAAAACATGGTCACTGAAGTGAAAGAAATATTTGTATTCGAGTTGTCAAGCATGGAATTCTCAGCAAAAGGGGGTTGTGTTCCTGCTTTATGGACTATACAAAACGTCTAAAACAGGGCAGAAACCTAAATGGAAGAGAAGATTTGCTCGAGAAGGGTGGTTTTCCCCTCAGATTTAACGCGAGTCACAATGACTTTGCAGAGGAAACTCGCTGAAGGAGCCAGCAACCAAGGCTTACGATCAGGTCTTTGCACCTTATCACAGTTGGCCCATCAGGAAAGCTGTCGCAGCTGGAATGTACGTCATACCTACTAAGTCAGCATATCTGGCGAAACTCAATGAGAAAGGTACATGCTGTTCATACTCTGATCATATCTGTAATCTCCTCGCCTTGAAGAAATTTGACAGATGCAAAGGTCTTGGCATTGTTTGTTAACATGAAACTCCCGATGTCCTTCCGTATGTAGTTATATTCGTGTTTCTCTAAGGACTTGGTCTGCACATGTGGGGCCTGAGAGATTCCGGGTGGTTAATTTTTTTTTTGGGCATCTGTTGATTCAAACTAGCTATCAACATTCCTACCGTGCATGCCATGAATCGCTTGTTTCCAGATTAACTAGTGAGCATTGTGTCTCTTTCGTTATTCAAGATATTTATCGACACAGATAGTACCCAAGAGGTGAGATAGATAGCTATAAATGTCTGCTTTTGTATTCCGCTTAAAGATGCGATCAAGAACTTACTTTGCTATCTGTATATCTTCAATCGTGTACATTAGAAATGAAGTGTGAGACTGAACTGAGACTCATTGACGCACCGAACTAACATCTTCTGATGCATCGAATGTCGTGCATGATTGTTCTGTACAGAGTCATCGGCAAAACAGTATGTCCAGATTTTCGTGACAAGTGCTGAACCGGTAGTGCAATACGTTGACGATCTTTTCACAGCTAAAGATATTGGAGTAGATTGGTAGAGCAATCTGATGAGTTTCACCGTGTTAAGACGGTGCAACTATTTGCCATTTGATACGACAACTTCATAAATTGAGAGGAATAAACGCAAGTGTGGAGATGAGGGTTTTGTCCTCTATTATTTGTTCTACTCATCGTGGCTTACCAGTGTCTGCTGAGCTTTTGAATACTGTATAATTTTGGCTTCGCAAAATTACGCTCTCAAGTCTGCCTTTGGCACAGCGATGGTTTTTCTAAACATCCGTTTGAAGAATCTCACATCCATCAGCTTTCGACCATTGTTCAGTCCTCAACTTAGTAGACTGCAGAGATTGAACTGTTACACGTGGGCAAGGATTGGTTTCTCAACCCTAGGGTTTAAGAGTGTGAATTTTCTTTGCAGATGAGTGTGCAATAGGATAGACTTATCTTAGCAAAGGGTATACGGGGTACTCAAAGTACGTTCACATTTGCTTACTTTGACTAAAGGCTCCAACCATCATCTCCGGGATGCAGAATACTGGAGCCTTCCATAAGATATTCCTTAAGATATTTCGCTCGCTTATCTCGGCAAGGGAATGGGGTAAGGGTTTTTAAACTTTCAGGACAGTGCGCTAAGGATTCCGCTATTGGCACGCTAGAGACAACAAGACTTCTACGATCACTTCCAGTTTAAGCTTAGATTGGATGTGAATTAACCCAGAATAATTATACGGACAATGGGCTCAAGATTTTGCACCGAGAGTTGACTGGGGCCCAACAATCTGGGCCCGTAACAACGTGAGTGCATGACTCTCGCACACTTTGAGGGGCTAATGTTAGGAATGGAAACCAGTCTTAGCCGTGACAATATATGTGCTAAGATTCCGAACAGGCAAGATACAACTATCGATTACACATTGGATATCGCTCAGCCCCTTAGATGTTCTGTAGTTAAGAAATTTCAGTCAGCTTGCGCTCAGACTTGAAATGCTTTCATCACCGCGATATCCACAAGTGCGCATGTAAAATCAACTTTCTCTAGAGAAAGATGACTGTTTCCTCTGTAGGAAAGGATCGCGTCCTTCCTCAAGAAAAAACAGTCAGCCCTCTTCAGCACTGTAGTAATGTGTAGACCCAACGTAGATTAAATCAGTGACGAATGTTCCAACACAGTGTACCATGTATCGTACAACAACCCGAGATTGGCATAGCGAGTGCTGGATTCGTTGTGGCTTCTAGGGAACGGGCCAGAAAGCTACAGAAAAACTCATGGCCAACATAAAGAAGCTCTCGCCCTAACACAATTCCAGAGACTATTATGCATTCTAATGCAATATCGACCTAGCAATCAAAACGAGTGCAGCAACCGTAGTGTAAACTGTCGAAACGAAAAACGAAGTCGATGACAAGAACATCTTCAATCTGTCGATTCAAGCTCGGACCTCTTGTCGAGTAAGCAATCCGGCGACTAAACTACACAATAAGGAGATTTCCTGTAGAGGTGGGAGTACGATAGGAGATCAATTCGACACTATGGACGTAGATTTCAGAAGACAGACCAGTATGAGGAGTGGAGGACATCGGAAGAGAGGCAGTGGTGCTCTACAATTGCTTAGAACATTGAGCAACTTGTAGATAATATACTCAGCGTGACGCTGTGAAGACATTAGGGTTTGCCAAGCACACAAGTGACTTGTGTCACTTGTGTGCTTCGCCGTTTCTGCCCATCTTTAGACCAGTAACCGGGGTCCGGTTTGGATCGTGACCAGGGTTGCCTATTACAGTTAAATTTTGCCTGGATCCTATCGGACGGAACACAATGTCCCTTTTTGGTGTAGAGACTTACTGTTATGAGAAGCGAATGAAAGTTTGCTCTTTTCGACGATTCCCATAACATATTAAACATATTTTCTAAATTTTAAGACTTGTGAAGGATGTACAGTAATCTCATTTTCATCAGATTAGCTTGCCATTCGAAATTGTACTCTGTCTTGATAGCATCCCAGGGTACAAACACCTCTAATCTATTATGACATATATGGGCTGAAATATTATTGTTGAAAAAAAACGTGTAAAGATCAATGGCACTTAAGTCAAGTAAAAACGAGAGACGAATTCCGATTAACAACAGTCCATACCGAATTTATATTAACAGACCAATTAAAACTAAAAAATACCCCATCCACCCCTTACAATCATGAAACCAAGAGTTCATCAGACAAGACTTCAATAGAGTCTCAACGTAAAATTTGTGCTACATACAAATATATTTCATATATCCATATTAAACAACATGATGTTACATCTGAACAACCAGTTGATGTTATTGTTGTTTCGTAGTATGTACTAGCTAGTGAATCTTTTAATTGATATTGTGATATAGGCTGATTCAAGTAAGCTATACAATAAATAGAAGATGTTAGATTATTTTTGACTCTCATTCATTCATTGTGAAAAACATATCAAAGTTGATTCTTATATTTTTATATAATTATAAATATGTTGAAGTAAAATACACCATATTTTCTACTTTCTATTCATTGTCATCTTGAAAGATGTACTATCATGCATTTGAATTTTAGTCTCATGTGCTATTAATATGAGTCAAATTACAAAGGTAATTTTATTTTTGTTTAATATTAATTAAATCCTTATCTACATCTTTGAACTCATGCTTAATATATATGGATGAGAAAAAGCTAACAATTTTGGTTAAAAAAATAAAATCTTGAAATTTGAAATGTTGAAATTTATGTTCGATTCAAGAGATGTGAACATACATAAAAGCAACAAAAAAAATCAAACAAGCATTAATTGTACACAATGAATAGTCTCTTATCTTTTGTATCCGATTATTTCTTTATTTTTGTGTTTATTTTAAATTAGAATGGAATATATATGAAATTTCATATTTGATGTTTGATACAAAATATTTTTTAAATGTATGTAAGAATTTAATTTATTTACTAGATTTATTTATATCACATAAAATATGCATATATATATTAATTTCATGCAACAAGTCAATAGGAAAATAATATTTTATATATTTTAATGTAAAATTTTGTGTAATTAAAATTTTACCATATTAAATAAATCTTAACTTTATTATAATGAAAATTTAAACTTAATGAAACAAATTAATACAATTGATAGCTTATCCAATATACTTAATTTGGCAGCATTGTTTTTTTGGAAAATTTTTAAAACAAAAAATCTTATTTATTTGGACTCACAATGATTTTATCATGAAAATGGAATATGATAAAATGTATAAAAAAAAATTAATGGATTTCCATTAGATTGTATACATTTTTAGAATTTCATAACCATCATTTTGAATATTGAATGAAAGTGAGTTTTAGAGCTTGTATGTATCATAATTTAAAATAAGAATAGCGTTAAATCCAGATCTAAAACCCAAGTCCGCACGGTTTCAAATACTTACGGTGTACTTAGTGTTGAGATCGGTTATCTCTAAATATAGGGAGAGTTTACCCTAACCCCACCGATAGAGTATCTCTAAAGGTAGGGAAGGTTTACCCTAACTCTAAGAAGCATCGAGACTTCTAACCGCAAGTATCTCTAAATATAGGGAGTGTTTACCCTAACCCCACCGATAGAGTATCTCTAAAGGTAGGGAGGGTTTACCCTAACCCTACCAAGCATAGAGACTTCTAACCGAAAGTCTCTCTATTAATAGAGGGTACACTGACACTCACTCTCATATAAATATGGGAATGTAACACCCTCCGAGGTCATTTCAATACACTTCACTTTGAGAGTATTTACTGCAAGCACTTTAGAGAGGGAGAGATCCGAGAGCATTGTTTCTTTTGTCTCACTATTTTGTTCTCTTTCAGTTTTACTTCTCGCAACACTTAGCTTTGATAAGTATTTCACTATTTTAATACACAAAAACTGTGGCGGTAATAATAACATTCGAAAACTCAAGTCTGCGCAGTTTCAAATACTTATGGTGTGCTTAATCTAGTGAAATGAGAGTAAGTTAAACTAATGAAAACATGATTTTATAAATATTTTGTATATTCATTTTTATTATATATATTTAATTTTTAATTTTATTTATTATCTTAGAAAAAATACACAACTAAACTAAAAACACATTTTCAATTAATTGACTGTATTTTTGAAAATAAATAATTTTTTTAAATTTCTATTAAAAATTTCAACAAATCACTAATATTTTCAAAAAAATATTTTTTTTCTTTCATAGAGGCGATGAATTCTAAATAGTTAAACAAGCTACATAATGATTTAAAAGTAGATTTATGAAGGAGATCAAACTCCATAAAATAATAATGAAATAATTTAAAATATTATATTTAAGAAAAAAAATCAAAGTAAAGTATTTTTTAAACAAATTTTTTAATTTTAATCTCATATATACTTTGTATGTTCACAAGTATTAAGAGAAATAAGAACTGCACTAAGAGAAATAAGAACCATTGGTCAGTATTTCTCTCATTGCAATACTAGTAGACCAGCTTGGACCAAACCCATGATTAGAGAGCAGTAGCAAAATTATAGTTTAAATGAAAACCTTTTTGTTGATGTATGTGATTATTTTAACACAAAATAATCAAAAAAGTTATTTTGATTTCACTTGGATACAAGTTTTATATTTTAAAGTAAATATAATTTATTATTTATTATTTAATAAACGAAATAATTTGGTTTAAATCTAACACTATATTTTTAATCAATATTATTTCATTTAAAACCAACAAATTTGATAAATAAAACATAAATCTATCTAAAAATTAAATTATCCATGGAAAAAATATTGTGACTTTTGCACCTCGCAAATAAAGAAGTATCACTAAAAATATATTCAAAGCTTATTGAAAATTAATAAAATTATATAATACATTTGTCTAAGATACAAAATTTAAAATATCATTTATAAGAATATTCAATAGAGTAATCTTAAATTTAAAGAAGAAGTACCAAATAAAAAATAAATGACAACAATATTTAAATTAATTTAATTGAACATGCAAAAAAAATCTAACAAAAAAAAACATCAAATATTGATGTCTAATGTAAACATGGAATCATATTATATGATCCTTGTACGCACTGATATTACATTGAATGTGAATTAAAAAAGGCTTTAAAACAAGTCTTAAAAAAAATTTGAATGTTAAAAATAATCAAAACTAATGTCTGCCTTTCTAACAGTATTGCATGATATCAACATAACTTGCATTTATGTAGATATATTTTCTCCAATTTTAAGAATTAAAATTATTTTTTTATAAATTTATTTTTAACAACAAAATATAATGAATACAATATTCACTCATTTCATTACAATCGTATCAAATTGACAACATCGTGATAATTTTGGAAAGAAAAAAGATTTTGAAAAAATATCTTAGTTTCAAAATCAACAAACAAATATAATTTATTTTTTTTAAATACAAA